GCGTGCTACGTGCTACTTAACATAACAAAGATGGCATTTCAAATGTTTACACTATATTGTTTTCTTCTTCCTAAAGTCCTTCTGCTACGAGTCAGAAACCTTTTCTTAAGAGACCTTGTTTTGTGTCCCAGGTGTCTGAAGGCGTACCGGCTGCCGTGCTACGTGCTAGCGGTAGCGATGGAGGGTCTCTGCTGCCTCTTCGTCCCGCTGCTGCGATCCTTCCAGCTTCTCGTTCCCTTCGCTGTTCTCTACGGATACTTCGACGGCGCCTACGTGGCTCTGATCCCGGTGGTGATCTCGGACGTGGTCGGAGCGCCGTACCTTTCCTCTGCGCTCGGAGTGGTTTACTTCCTGCACGCCATCCCCTACCTGCTCAGCCCGCCGGTCGGAGGTGAGACGCGCAGATTAGCTTTAAACCAGGGGGCCATTTTGAATCGTCCCTCAGCAAATTCACAAAGTATAATGTGGGCCGTATGGAATGGAATGCGGCCTAAAAAAGAAACTTGTATTGTCCTTAAATATAGATGAAAACAGATATTACACAGTTCATGTGTGAATAAGAACTTTCAGTCCATTCAAGTTGAAAACATGTTCGAACAAGCTTGAAATACCCTTCATGTTTCCTCTTGTTAGCATTCTCACTCTGAAGCTTCTGTTGTAAGGGATGAGCAACACAATAAAGTGAACCCTCTGGGAGCTGGGATGTAGGCAGTACACCTCTAGTGAGCGGCCCAGCCCTTCCTATGTTTTTCTGTGTGTGGCCCTCGGTGAAAAAAAAAGGTTTGGACACCCCTGATTTACACGGTGTGTTCAAGGACTGTCCGACTTCTGAGGTTCAACATCACTGGCACATCTGTTGCTATCCTCTTTTCTACAGGCACATTTGATTTGTCATTATGATTCTACTTGTGATAGTCGGACATGTATTGATTCCATCCGAAAGCTGCTATAATACAAAACAACAGGAACATGTCTGTCTCCACAATGATCAATAACAGCGAACGAATGGTCATTAAAGTACAAATAAACAGAATCACACTAAGCCTGGTTAATGGGTTTTCTTTATAAGTGTGCGGTCGCGCTCAACGTACGTTAAATGCGTACGTTGTTACCTGACCTAATTGACCTGTTAGTTTAAATAAACATGTTTTACAGAACTACGTTTTCACACGTAACTTAAACATGTCTGTATGTTGACGTAAGTATCTGACTTAACTAATGTCGTTAAAATAAGTATTTTTTTGACGTGTCTTAATGAACCTCAGTTAAAATCATATAAAGTTATAAATGAATGTTATACAAACGTCCTCTCTTCTACAGGTTGGCTCGTTGACGTCACAGGAAGTTACTCTCCGACGTTCTTCCTCAGCGGCGGCGCCCTGCTGGCCAGCGCCGCCGTGATCTCTGCGATCACCGGGATCCGACGCTGCCACCGACACCTGAACGCCTCAGAGGACAAGCCACGCCCCCTCTGCCTGCCCGACCAATCAGAGCGCCCCGTCAGTCCGGCCGGGGCCACGTAGCCTCGGGGGGGGAAATGGGATTTAATCCAGACGGCGACTTTAAACCCGGAGAAACTGGTTGGGTTTCTTTAACTCTCTAAATGGATTTAACGAGGGTCTTAACGAGGGTCTTAACGAGGGCAAACTGAAGTTGTCCTTGTCTGAAGAACCGGAGATAAATGAATAATTAAACCAAATGTCCTCATGTTTTTAATTATTTAGAGAAACTGCTGAAATGTGTTTTTCTTTGAAACCTTAAAACTCCAGGTGGATTATTTCAGAGGAATATCCACAGAGCAGATTGAACAAAACGACTTTAAATGAGACCGATTTATTTTGAGCTTTAAAAAATATAGTGGTTTAAATAAATAAAAAATTGGGAGAAAATTTGATTTTGAATTACATTTTGAAAAATATAACAAAATGCGTCAGGTGAACACAGGTACGCCAGGTGAGCACAGGTACGCCAGGTGAGCACAGGTACGCCAGGTGAGCACAGGTGAACACAGGTACGCCAGGTGAGCACAGGTACGCCAGGTGAGCACAGGTGAACACAGGTACGCCAGGTGAGCACAGGTACGCCAGGTGAGCACAGGTACGCCAGGTGAACACAGGTACGCCAGGTGAGCACAGGTGAACACAGGTACGCCAGGTGAACACAGGTGCGCCAGGTGAACACAGGTACGCCAGGTGAACACAGGTACGCCAGGTGAGCACAGGTGCGCCAGGTGAGCACAGGTACGCCAGGTGAACACAGGTACGCCAGGTGAGCACAGGTACGCCAGGTGAGCACAGGTACGCCAGGTGAGCACAGGTACCTACATGTTCCCTCAGTGTGAACAAGGATCATGTTTCGTTGATAAAATGTGTGATTTCTCTTTCTGTAATTGTTGCTTTGAATGGGTTTCAATGGGGGCATTTTTTACTGTCTGTATTTCTGATTTAGGAAACACTTTATATTCAACATGCATATGAGCAGTTTATTGGCTCTTTGTCAGTCATTATAAAACACTTAGTAATGCCTTATTCTACAAGTAATCAGCCGTTAGTTGAGTTTCTCCTCAGTAACCCTCTGATTAGAGCTGATTCATTGCAAGTGAGGAAGTTCTTGTTCATGAGTTCTGGTCTTAATATGCGCTGCTCCATATGGGCCTGATAAGGCAGCAGCACCACAAGAATAGTGATTCTCACATAATTACACTTATGATCTATTCTTATGTAACAAGACATGAAAAGTGTTAATTGTGTCTAAATAACTCAAAATTAAGTATATCTAAGAATATGTGTTGGGGTATTGACGGTTCAGCTAGCAAGGTGATATTGACCTGTATGTTTCAGATTTGCACATCTATATGTTTGTGAGATCTGTATTGAAGGTTCGACACCGGGTACCGGAAGCAGAGTGAGCTGAGGCGAAGCCCCTCCCCTTCCGGTGGACCTCCATGGGACCGTATTTTGGAAGTCAATGGAGAGAGAAAGATTATCTTTCCATCCCGTTTGAATTGAATTACACATATGATGTTTGTCAATTTAAAAGATCATTTTCAAGTCAAAAAAATTAAAATGTGTCGTAAAACTGAAGCAACACTACATCTCCCGCCTCGCACCCAGCCGGCACGTTGGAACATTTCACTCTTTCTTCTAGAACGAGGCGGAAAGTATTAAAAGAGGTGAAAATCACTCCAAGTCTGGGCGCGTTGAGAGCTGCACACACAAGGGGAGTGAGTCGGTTCCAGCATGCGGGACCGGCTTCAAGGTTTCGGTGAGTGACACGAGGGTGATGTGTAACGTTAATGTACGCGACTCTGGGACTTGTAGTCTTTCTAGTTGTGTATTTTTCATAGTCTTATATTTCAACAGTTTTACGACAAACTGACTTTTTTCGAGGAGCGATAATCGAGGAATCACCAGACCATCCTCTGATGAAGTCCTCAGACACTCGCCCCGCCCCCTTACTGTGTATCGCTCACTGATTGGACGAGGCAGTGCATGCACTGATCTGATGCTTCTTGACATGAGAGCAGTTTCCCAGCGGAGTGAAGAAAACACATGAACCTCACGAGACTCACTCCTCAGTTTATACCGTGTTTAGTTTCAATTCATGTTTCATTTAGTTACAAATATGTGAAATACAACTAAGTGGTCAAAAATCATTTTATTGGAAACATTTTCATGTATTGTCATTTCCATTCAGTCAGTCATTAAGTGCTATTAAAATGTTAATGTGCTGCATATCCACACAAACACACAAAGTGTGCCAATGGATGTTAATCTAACTGGGTTTTATAACATCTCTCTCTTTCTTCTCTCAATTATCTTATTTCTATTGTGCACTCTAATCAATATTAATCCAGTTACCTTGGTTGCTGATTGGACATGACATCAGGTTAGGTTTACACGTTATTCACCAAACCAGGAATCTAGAGAATAATCTGCAGATAAATTGATAATAAAACAAATGAAATAAAAGTTGATTTCTGAATTTATTGAAAATGATTTATCCACAAAAGTTAAAACCGGTTCATGAATTCAAGACTCATTAAAACACTCATTAAAACAAGGAGCTTTTTATATAAAATATTTACAGAAAACAGTCAGTTTTAAAGTCGCTCAGGTAAAGAGTATTCTTTTGAACCGTTAGTTACCTGGTGTGTACGACAGACAGCTGTGTGTGTGTTACATCCACCACGACAGACAGCTGTGTGTGTGTTACATCCACCACGACAGACAGCTGTGTGTGTGTGTTACGTCCACCACGACAGACAGCTGTGTTTGTGTGTGTTACATCCACCACGACAGACAGCTGTGTGTGTGTTACATCCACCACGACAGACAGCTGTGTGTGTGTTACATCCACCACGACAGACAGCTGTGTGTGTGTGTTACATCCACCACGACAGACAGCTGTGTGTGTGTGTTACATCCACCACGACAGACAGCTGTGTGTGTGTTACATCCACCACGACAGACAGCTGTGTGTGTGTGTTACATCCACCATGACAGACAACTGTGTGTGTGTGTTACGTCCACCACCACAGACAGCTGCGTGTGTGTGTTACATCCACCACCACAGACAACTGTGTGTGTGTGTTACATCCACCACCACAGACAGCTGTGTGTGTGTGTTACATCCACCATGACAGACAACTGTGTGTGTGTGTTACATCCACCACGACAGACAACTGTGTGTGTGTGTTACATCCACCACCACAGACAGCTGCGTGTGTGTGTGTTACATCCACCACCACAGACAGCTGTGTGTGTGTTACATCCACCACCACAGACAGCTGTGTGTGTGTGTTACATCCACCATGACAGACAACTGTGTGTGTGTGTTACATCCACCACCACAGACAGCTGCGTGTGTGTGTGTTACATCCACCACCACAGACAGCTGTGTGTGTGTTACATCCACCACCACAGACAGCTGTGTGTGTGTGTTACATCCACCACCACAGACAGCTGTGTGTGTGTGTTACATCCACCACGACAGACAACTGTGTGTGTGTGTTACATCCACCACGACATACAACTGTGTGTGTGTGTGTGTGTGTGTTACATCCACCACGACAGACAGCTGTGTGTGTGTGTTACATCCACGACAGACAACTGTGTGTGTGTGTTACATCCACCACCACAGACAGCTGCGTGTGTGTGTTACATCCACCACCACAGACAGCTGTGTGTGTGTTACGTCCACCACCACAGACAGCTGCGTGTGTGTTACATCCACCACCACAGACAGCTGTGTGTGTGTTACATCCACCACCACAGACAGCTGTGTGTGTGTGTTACATCCACCACCACAGACAACTGTGTGTGTGTGTTACATCCACCACCACAGACAACTGTGTGTGTGTTACATCCACCACGACAGACAACTGTGTGTGTGTGTTACGTCCACCACCACAGACAACTGTGTGTGTGTGTTACATCCACCACCACAGACAACTGTGTGTGTGTGTTACATCCACCACCACAGACAGCTGTGTGTGTGTGTTACATCCACCACCACAGACAGCTGCGTGTGTGTGTGTTACATCCACCACCACAGACAGCTGTGTGTGTGTTACATCCACCACCACAGACAGCTGCGTGTGTGTTACATCCACCACGACAGACAACTGTGTGTGTGTGTTACGTCCACCACCACAGACAGCTGTGTGTGTGTTACATCCACCACCACAGACAGCTGTGTGTGTGTTACATCCACCACGACAGACAACTGTGTGTGTGTGTTACGTCCACCACCACAGACAGCTGCGTGTGTGTGTGTTACATCCACCACCACAGACAGCTGTGTGTGTGTGTTACATCCACCACCACAGACAACTGTGTGTGTGTGTTACATCCACCACCACAGACAACTGTGTGTGTGTGTTACATCCACCACGACAGACAGCTGTGTGTGTGTGTTACATCCACCACCACAGACAACTGTGTGTGTGTGTTACATCCACCACCACAGACAACTGTGTGTGTGTTACATCCACCACCACAGACAGCTGTGTGTGTGTTACATCCACCACCACAGACAGCTGTGTGTGTGTTACATCCACCACCACAGACAACTGCGTGTGTGTTACATCCACCACGACAGACAACTGTGTGTGTGTGTTACGTCCACCACCACAGACAACTGTGTGTGTGTGTTACATCCACCACCACAGACAACTGTGTGTGTGTGTTACATCCACCACCACAGACAGCTGTGTGTGTGTGTTACATCCACCACCACAGACAGCTGCGTGTGTGTGTGTTACATCCACCACCACAGACAGCTGTGTGTGTGTTACATCCACCACCACAGACAGCTGCGTGTGTGTTACATCCACCACGACAGACAACTGTGTGTGTGTGTTACGTCCACCACCACAGACAGCTGTGTGTGTGTTACATCCACCACCACAGACAGCTGTGTGTGTGTTACATCCACCACGACAGACAACTGTGTGTGTGTGTTACGTCCACCACCACAGACAGCTGCGTGTGTGTGTGTTACATCCACCACCACAGACAGCTGTGTGTGTGTGTTACATCCACCACCACAGACAACTGTGTGTGTGTGTTACATCCACCACCACAGACAACTGTGTGTGTGTGTTACATCCACCACGACAGACAACTGCGTGTGTGTGTTACATCCACGACAGACAACTGTGTGTGTGTGTGTTACATCCACCACCACAGACAGCTATGTGTGTGTGTTACATCCACCACGACAGACAACTGTGTGTGTGTGTTACATCCACCACCACAGACAACTGTGTGTGTGTGTTACATCCACCACGACAGACAGCTGTGTGTGTGTGTGTTACATCCACCACCACAGACAGCTGTGTGTGTGGGTGTTACATCCACCACGACAGACAGCTGTGTGTGTGTGT